GAAGAGTGTTTTTGAAGCTCAAAGTGGGCAGAGCCGGCTGTCGCCATCTTGGTAGCGCGTCACCGCGCGTCGCTTCTGGATAATCGAAAATGGGCAAAAAGGCGGGAGCTGGTTGCTGAAGCCACGCCCACCTAGCTCGATGGTGGTGACAGCAGCGGCAATCCACCTGTCACTCAAGTGGCCACGCCCTTAATTATGCAGAACTTTAAGGCTTAATATAATTTAAAGGGATGAGTTATAAAAAAATTCACCCCCTCACAGTTGTCATAAAGGGCAAAATTAGCTATATAGACCAAAATAAGTTTTTGAACCAGGCTGTAAACGTTTTTTTCTGTTGTAAAGTTAGGCATTTTAACATGGGGAGTCTATGGGATTGACTCCCTTTTGCAGCGAGCCTCTAGCGGCCAGTTGACGAATTACAGTTTAAGTCACTTCCTTGTTGGCTTCACGAGAGAGAGCGGGAGGTTGCCGCTTGGATTAACCCCTTTAATTAACCTAAGGACTACAGGATTTAAGCCATTTAATTAAACTGTTTAATTTGAATTGAAAATGCCGACACATTCAAAACATGGACACCTGTTTTTTAAACAAATGCAATTTTCTGTCTTCAGGTCCAGCGTGTGTTGATGTGGCACCTTGTGTGTCTCAAGGAGGCTTTTTGGAGTACATGCCCCCTCCTATGCACAGTCCTCCTCCGATACGGCGTGCTTCCTTGCCTCTTATCACGGCTTACAACCCCCCTACTCACACCGTGTCCTTGCTGCTGGACACACCTGAACACAGTGAGCCCAGCTCCGCAGACACAACGCCGCTGAGTTTGCAGACTGACACGGGGTTAGTATGAAACTAGGTTACTCATCTCCTGCAGTTCCTTTGTTAACCACTAGACGTCAGCACAGAGCTTATATAGTGATTTTCAGAGGTGGAGGTCTGTACTACAGTAACAGTAGCAGGTGTTCCTGCCACAGAACGCTTGATATGATTAGTAGTCAGCATAACTGGCCATAGCATTTGACAGTCTGATCACAAATAGTATGTACGCTACCGTTACAAAGTTTGGGGTCAGTGAGGATTTTTTCTTGTTTTATTTTTACATTAAATTGATCAAAAGTGACAGTAAGGATATTATAAAAAAAAATTATATTTCAAATAAATGCTGTTCTTTTGAACTTTCTATTCATCAAAGAAAATAATACAAGAACACATCAAAATATTAAGCAGCACAACTGTTTTCAATTTCCTGAGCACCAGATCAGCATATTAGAATGATTTCTGTATGATCATGTGACACTGAAGACGTTGCCATCATGGAAGTTATTTTAAATTGTAATAATATTTCACAATTTTATGGTTGGTTTTTAAGTAAATGCAGCCCTTGTCGAGCATAAGAAAATCTTAGTAGTATACTGCTGTTAAAAAACAACAACAACAAAAAGATGTCATTTTATATTGACATTTCTTGCTTATAAAAATGAATATTCTGATGGGAAAATTATATGTTTGTAAACTATATCATAAAATGAACAAGATTATTATGGCATTAATCAAACATATTCAGACTGCCAACAATTTCTGAGACATGGGTTTATTATTATTATTGCTATTATTATATATAAATGTATATAACGTTTGTAAGTTATATTTATATAAATCAATTATTATAATATTAATTGACATTAATTTTAATTTAAATCATTATTACTAAAATTATTTTTATTATACTTAACGCACCTCACTGCTTGTTTGCATAAAGTTAAACTTATTATAACATCGCTGGACACATGCACATCACCCAGCTGTAACTGAAAATGAATTTGTTCTAGTTCTTTGTCACTGCAAACTGCTGTCACTGTGAAGGCCCAACACTACAGATGTTTGCAAATATCACCTAAATTGTTTAATGTCACATGATACAGTTTCTCAAATGTGTTTTTGCTGTTCACAGGTTTGACTATGACGGCTTGGGCACCTCTGTAAAGCTGGACTACATGACTTCTGCTCCACAGAACAGCGCTCTAAATTTCCAGCTCAACACATTTCCTCAACAGACAAATAATCTCCTACCTCAGCAAACAAACACTCTGTTACCCCAAAAGTCCAGTTGTCTTATGTCCCAACAGTCCAGCACAATATTGCCCCAGTACTCGCACCTGTCGTACCTCACTCCCTCTCCTTACCTCACACCCAACCCCACAGAGAGCAGCAGCGCTCCTTATCTGCCCCTCACCACAGGAACCAGCAACACTCTGCCTGCATACACCAGCAGCGGACATGCGTATCTCCAGTCTCAAACCGGCAACCAGATGCTGCTACAGTCAGGAGTTAATGGTAAGTCAGCCACATTACAACTTTGGAAACAAACATCTTTAAGTAGTAGTAAAGTAGTAACTTATATGTTTATATGAAGCATTTCAGGCCTACCCTTGGACAACTGACATGTATGGTCAGTATACACAGGCAGTATTTCGGCCACAGTTATCATCACAGGGTCACGAGAGCCAATACTCCCAGCTCCTGCCCCAGCAGCACTACGTTCAGCTCGACGGAGCGCCGCCGCAGCCCAGCCTACCCAAACCCACCCCTGACCCCCTGCTGCCCAATGTCAAAGTAGAGTCTGAAGACATGGGCCATGGCCAGCCAATCAGAGGCAGTGAGACAGAGCCTAATTTTCATTGCGATTTCTCACCGATCAACTTTTAACAACAGCAGGTGATTTTTATACTATGTTTATGGAGAGTCTGTATGTACATATTCTGTGTTGTATAATTGCTTGAAGAACAGTATGAGTAATTATCATTTTTGAGAACTACATCAGGGGTTTTCAAACTGGTGTCAGAGCTGACGGGTAAAATAAATGTAGAAAATTTTAGTAGAAAATAAATGTAAAGACTTGGAAAAATTAATAAAATAGTTCATATTATTTAAAAAAAAAACAAGTATTTTATCTGTCCTTGCAAGGTGCGGGAAGTATTTATATTGTATTTGTGTTGAATTGGAATTATTATAGTTTACTAAAACTTAATAAATAATAATAAAAAAAAAACTTAATTAAAACACTTAAACACATTTCAGCTAAATGCCAAAGCAGTATTAGTTAACTAAAATAACTCAAACTAAATAATAATAAATACTTTTTAAAAAATGAAAATGGAAAATAAAAAAATAAAAACTACTTTAAAATATTAATAACTAAGACTAATAATAGTATCTTCGTAATAATAAAACAACACATTGTTTAAACTGTATAAATTTAAATCGAATTGTAAGTCAATTTAATGTATTATAATTTAATTACATTTTGTCTAAATTAGTCTTGATTCTTGAATATTGCCTTTTGTGTTGTTGCCTAATATTACTGATAAATGTCTGTGTTGTATTTCAGGGTACTGACTGTGAAGATCTGCAAGCGATATGTTCTTTTCTTTGTATGTTTGTCTTCTGTTTTTTGTTGTTTTGTGCAGGAGCTATTAAAATGCTCTTTCATTGAAGATTTTCTGTGTTTGTTATGCATCTTCACAAGATTTAGTGGACTAGTAAACTAGACTGATGCATACCTACAGTCAGTGACACAAACAGGAATCTGAGGGCCCAGGACAAACCTTTACGTTCAGTTTATGTTATGTTTATGTCCTTTTGATTTAATCACAGAATAAAGGAAAGTATGTGAGAGCACCTGTAAAATAGACTAGCATTTGCCACAAGGGGGCGCTGTTTTACAAGAGCACTGATCTCAGTTGCAGAGATTGCACAATCCTCTACAACACACTTCTGTGGTCTTTTTGAAAGTTTTGTTGAAGCATTCAGTCCTCGTCTGTCACAGCTCACCTCCTCGTTGCTCTCATCACTACATACTTTTATTCTCTTTCTCCATAGCTTTACTCAGCTACTCTCAAGTGTAATCAATTAAGGGCAGGACAGATCTTTTTTTTTTTTTTCAAAATGTATTTGCAAAAAGATAATTTGAAAAGATGCCAGAAACATGATCATTACACCACAAACCCCCGCAGTGTTAATGTAACCCTCACACATGCACACAAATGCATGCTCTAGTTCTCTTCCACTTCCTGTCTCTGGTTGGTTTCAGATATGGTGAGAAATGTTGCGAGATAAAAGTAAATGTCTGTGACATGTTAGTTTGACCGCTTAATGCTTGCAAATTAAATGACTGGAAATGCAAACTTAGGTCATGTTAAGTGAGGAATTCATGAGGAACTATTTATTCAGTGGTCACCAAAAAGGAAGTTTAAAGGATAGTTCATGCAAAAAGTTCAATTAAATACTATAATTAATACATTAAATGATAATTAACTGGAAAAACTGTTATTTATTCACATATAGATTTTTTTAAATATTTATGTTTCTTAGATTTGAACAGTCACTTGGACTGTTTTTAAAGTTAGTGTCAAAGAAAACTGTGGTTTCAGTGACTGATGTTGTGTGTGGTCATAAATATGTGTTGTTAATTTCCTCAGCAGTATTTCATCTATTTGTAGGCTTGTGTTTATGATGCATCAGAATGTGATCTATCCTTTTACAGAATTTAACATAAAGACTGAAATACCCTCTGAAATTGAGAAATCAAGATAATATAACAAATAATCATCATTTTCTCAGAAAGTATACAGGAAGCCCTGACCACCACACAGGAACGTACATGTGCATGTGTGTTCGTCAGTAACAGGGTGGATTTATGTGACAGTTTCTGAGTGTTTCAGCTTGTTTGTGTCATTGTGAAAGAGACCAAGAGAAAGATGTCTGGAACACGCATCCTCTGCTGCCATGTCACCACTGCGACCATCTCATTTGCTGTCTTATATCTGGTAACAACTTCATGCAAACATATACAACCACATACCGACACTGTATACAATGTGTTTATATAGTTACAATTAGAGTCTTTACTGCCTTCCTGTTCCAATCCACTCTTTGTAATTGTTTGTTAGTATAACATATCAGGTGGATTCACTTGCAGTAATTCGGGACTTTCATACTTCCTAGAGTAAATATTTTAAGGTTTTGTACTCTGGTAAGACAGCACGCCCATTTTGTTGCTGTTTTTTGTGCATACACTTAATGGAGAAGTTTGTGCATTACAGGAAGCTGGCGCCATTTAGAAGTCGCAGTCAGTTACTGAGCCACAGATTGAGATTCAATATTGACTGTTCTTTTTAACACAATGTTTGTTGTACAGCACTTGCCGTCTCTTTATCTGAAGCTGATATTTATTTAGCAACCAATAGATAAGACAGATAGTGAGAGATACTAAATGTACTAACTACATATATAGACTACTAAGAAACAATTTCATGGGGGTGGGGGATGAGTGAGAAATCAATGTTCCAATTTGAGTTAGATTATTATAAAGCTTTTATGGACACTTAAACCACTCTATATAATTGTGAGCATCATCGGTTTAGGAATAAATAAGTTTACGGGAAACCCTCTTGTCAACCGGACTGTATTGTGAGGTTGTGTCTATGTTATGTAATTTACACTTTTACAGGTTTTTCTGAATGAACTGCTGTTCTTGTTTAACTTGTTCTGTTGGTGTTGGCTCTGAGAAGAGAGACCAAACACACCGGCTGCCAGAATATACACAAACTGAGACACACATTTACCTTTATGAATTCACTCTGTCACATTCATTTAATCTGTAAAGTTACAAATCTCAAAGTCCACTCCAAAGGGAGATATTTTGTTTTTTAAAAATCCTTTTTCAAGAACGAAATGGAAAGGCTGGTTTGGACTACAGCGTTTGTTTTCCGGATTTGTGATGTCACAAAGCGTCCATTAGAATATAATTAAAATAATTCCCGCCTACGGAAATTCGAATGGTGGGGAGGTGCGAGGTCCTGGTTAGAATGCTTGGTTGAGTGCATCAGACAAGAAGACGAAGAAGTGCTGCTGTAGCATCAAGTTTTTGTAAGTTATTACACATGTACCAGAATAATTATGTATGTAAATATGTATGTTACAATAATGAAAACGTTTTTATAAATTGCTGACAGTACAATACTGGACTTTATTTGTGGCGCCTGCCACAATATCAAAACTGATAGCCACAAATAGATTTTCCAAAAGGCTTTGACTTCGTTGAATAAACATGAGCACTGCATGTTTCAAAATCGAAACCCTGTGTGGGTGTTTTTATATCACTGTATTTCTGAAGGAATCCGACTGTCTTCAGAAAATTTTGGATGTCATTTTCATTTCATCTTGCATGTAATGTCTGATAAAGCAGCGTTTGTGAGCTGAGCGCTGCTTTGTATAGGCCTACAGCCGTTGCCGGGGAAACCTCGATCTCTCCCGCTCTACAAGCGCCTCCTGCTGGCAGAGAATGAATTTGCATATATATGCCACCACAAATAGAGTCGGATTGTAATCCAGAAAGGATTATGTGTTTATGAAACACATGTGAATGAAATTAAATTATATTCCAGTTTTAAATGTGCTTCTGATTACAGATAGCCTGGGATTACACAAGATTTTTATTTTAAAGACAACCAGTTAGAAGGGAGCATAATTTGCTTTTTGGGTTAAAAGAATTTGTTCTTATAAATATGAAATTCGAGTGGTATGACAATTAGAGATTAGACTGTACAGAAATTGAAACTACTCTCTTATACACACTATACTCACGCAATGCTGATGTTGTTAACATTAACAATTTGAGAATTAAGTATAACAATAATAATAATTTGCACGGTTTGATGTGATATGAGCTAATGCAGTCATTTATTTACTTTATAACAGTAAACAAATATCGGTTCTGCATATCGGTTATCGCGCACATAAACATGCAAATAATTGGTATCGGTATTGGTTATAAAATATCAATATCGGTTGATCACTAGCAATAATAATAATTTGCACGGTTTGATGTGATATGAGCTAACTGATCTTTAGATTAAATCACCATATAGTGCGATTTATTGTAATGCTTTTTTACTTAGTTGGTCAGAACAAAGTGGCAGACTTGTTACTTACTTGTTCAGATGACAATATCCGACAATAAATAATGCTTATTTGGGTCATATATTCCAAGACGTAGGCTAGAATCTATGATTACTAAATATAGGATTCACACCGGTGCGGTGACTGACTGCCACACATACTCCTCAAAACAATAGATTCATCCGCGCTGGAGCCGCGCCGACTCACAACCCACAAGGAGGATAATTCCGCACACAGCTGCAATTGCAGGTTTTCAAACAGAGATGG